CTACTTATTTCTATAATTATTTAAATTTATAAGTAGGAAAATTAATTCTCTAATTATTTTATGATTAGCTTAGGAGAAAATGTAGAAATACACAGTCGGTAATATAACAAGAAGATTTAAGATTTGTTTCTTAAGGCTCTCAGTCCAGAAAGTGTTAAATAGCTTCCTTTTTCCCCCTCTACTTTTCATTTCCACATTTTTCACATTCATATATCTACTTTATTTTTTAATTTATTATTTTTTTCTAGTTTTTTTCTTTTTTTATAATGTTAAGTGTACTCTTTAATCCCTATCCCCTATTTTTCCCATCCCCCTACCCACCTCCTTTCTGGTAATCATCAGTTTGTTCTCTATGGTTAAGAGTCTGTTTCCTGGTTCGTCTCTCTCCCTTTTATTTTTCCTTTTGCTCATTTGTTTTGTTTCTTAAATTCCACATGAGTGAGATCATATATTTGTCTTTCTCTGACTTATTTTGCTTAATATTATACTCCCTACCACTGTCCCTCTTGTTGAAAATGGCAAGATTTCATTATTTTTTAATGCTGAATAATATTTTATATATATATATCACATCTCCTTTATCCATTCAGCAGTTGATGGACGGTGGGCTTTTTCCATAATGTGGCTATTGTAGATAATGCTGCTGTAAACATCAGGGTGCATGTATTACTTTGAATTAGTATTTTTGTATCCTTTGGGTAAATACCTAGTAGTGCAATTGCTGCATTGTAGGGTAGTTCTATTTTTAATTTTTTGAGGAGCCTCCATACTGTTTTCCAGAGTGGCTGCACCAGTTTGCATTCCCACTAGCAGTGCAAGAGGGTTCCTTTTTCTCCACATCCTCACACCAATCTGTGTTGTTTCTTGTGTTTTTGATTTTATCCATTCTGACAGGTGTGACAGGTTTTCTGACAGGTTTTCTTTTTCTTTGAACAGGCCTCCACATTTACTGTTCAGAACCATGGTGTCTCGATGATGACTGCATCCTAGAGTCATCTGTAAACTTTAGATCATTACTAGGAATAGCTGCTGTTTTTGTTTTTTTGTTTGTTTCTTGTCTCATTGTCTCTACTCATTTCTTAATTTACTTAGGTAATTTTTCCCCATTCCCTTCAATGAAGTTATGTCATACATCTCTAACACAGTTACATTTTTTAAATTTACTTTGTATTTTTAATAAATTTATAACCCCTTTACCTATTTTTCCACCCCCATACTCCCACTTCTAGCAACCATCAATCTGTTGTCTGTATCTATGAACTTTATTCATTTTTTTTCTTTTCTGTTTTTTTAATTTTTTTAGATTCCACATATAGGAGAAATCATATAGTATTTGTCTTTGTCTGCCTGACATTTCACTTAGCATGATACCCTTGAGGTCCATTCATGCTGCACAAATGGCAAGATTTCATTATTGTTATGGCTGAATAATATTTCACTATTTATATGTATAGATACATGCACACTTTGGTTGTTTCCATATCTTGGCTTTATAAATAATCTGCAATAAATATGGGGTGCATGTGTCTTCCAAGTCAGTGTTTTATTTTATTTGTATAAATACCCAAAAGTAGAATTGCTGAATCATAGGGTAATTCTATTTTTGATTTTTTGAGGAAACTCCATTCTGTTTTCCATAGCGATTGCATCAGTTTACATTCCCAGCAACAGTGCTCGAGGGCTCCCATTTCTCCACATCTTTGCCAACACTTGTTATTGTTTCTCTTTTTGATTGTAGTCATTCTGATTGGTATGAGCTGACATCTCATTGTTTTTTCATTTGCATTTCCCTAGTGATTAATGATGTTGAGTATCTTTTCATGTACCCATTGACCATCTGTGTGTCATCTTTGGACAAATGTGTATTCAGATCTGCTGCCCATTTTTTAATTAGATTTTTTTTTTTTTTGCTATTGAGTTGTGTAAGTTCTTTATGTATTTTGGTTATTAGCCCCTTATCAGATATATGAGGTGTAAATATTTTCTCCCATTGAGTAGGTTGCCTTTTTTATCTTGTTGATGATTTCCTTTGCTATGTAGAAGTGTTTTATTTAGTATGATGCAGTCCCACTTACCTGTTTTTTGCTTTTCTTGCTTTCACTTTTTTGTGTCAGATTTAAAAATTCATCCCTAAGACCTGTGTCAAGAGGTTTACTGCCTATGTTTTCTTCTAGGAGTTTTATGGTTTCAAGTCTTACATTGAAGTCTAATCTATTTTGAGTTAATTTTTGTATAAGGTGCAAAATAGTGGTCTAATTTCATTCTTTTTGTGTGGCTGTTCAGCTTTCCCAACACCTTTTATTAAAGAGACTGTTCTCGGGCACCTGGGTGGCTCAGTCATTAAGCATCTGCCTTTGGCTCAGGTCCTGATTCTGGGGTCCTGGGATTGAGCCCCGCATTGGGCTCCCTGCTCAGCGGGAAGCCTGCTTCTCCCTCTCCCTCTCCCCCTGCTTGTGTTCCCTCTCTTGCTGTATCTCTGTCAAATAAATAAATAAAATCTTAAAAAAAAAAAAAAAAAGAGTGTTCTCTCCCCATTGTATATTCCTGGCTCCTTTGCTGTAAATAATTCTCTCTATCCTGTACCACTGATCTATGTGTCTGTTTTTGTGTTAATACAATACTGTTTTAATTACTGTAATTTTGTAATGTAATTTGAAATCAGGGAGCATGATGCCTCTAGCCTTGTTCTTCATTCTTAAGATTGCTTTGACTTTTCAGGGTCTTTAATGGTTCCATACAAATATTTGGATGGTTTGTCCTATTTCTTTCAAAAATGCCGCTGGAATTTTTCTAAAGATTATTTATTTTAGAGAGAAAGAGCATGGAAGAGAGAGAGAGACGGGAAGGGTCAGAGGGAGGGGGAGAGACAGAATCTCAAGCAGATGAGGAGATCGATCTCATGACCCTGAGATCATTACCTGAATCGGACACTTAACCAACTGAGCCACCCAGGCATCCCGCCATTGGAATTTTGATAGGTATCACACTGAATCTGTAGATTGCTTTGGGTAGTATGGACATTTTAACAATATTGATTATTCCAATTCATGAGCACAGAATATCTTTCCATTTATTTGTGTCTTCTTCAATTTTTTATGGTTTTATTATGGTTTTAAAATTATATTAGAATGCAGGGTAAGTGCAAATTGAATAGTAGGATTAATGAAAAGATGAATGAAAGAGAGTGATCACTTGGAAATAGAGAAATTTATAAAGGGGGGAATTTCAGATGCAAAATAAGAGGTTTCTCAACTATATAAATACTAGATCTAAAAAAAAATTTAAACAGAGGAGTAAATATTGATTGGTGTTTGTGGTCATCATTTTATGGGAGATATTCATATACTCCAAGTATTTTAGGGAGAAATCTTACTTTCTTATTCTGCATACTTTTGTCACAAAGTATGGCCTAACCTGAACATGACCTGTAACTTCTATCAGGTTGTTACCGTTAGGCACTAAAATCACAGTTTATCTGAGAATTTTAGGATGATGCTACCTACAACTGCCCGGTCATCTTAGTGGTCAGGGGTGCCAAAGAATGTGTTTTCACTGAACTGTAGACTAAACTGTAAGTGCAGTCAGCTCGCTCCTGTGCCTGGTGGGGAATTGTGAGCATAGAGCTAGACATACAGAGAATTTTTTTAATGATTAGAAAGCGACATCTTTCTTCCAACCTATTTACAATGCTTAATGTAAAACACATAAAACAAAAGTGATAAAATAAGGAGACTAGATACTGTATGTAATCAGAAGACTGGCACACAGCATTTAAAACCTAAGCACTGGATTCTACCATGGATTAATTTGCATGTATATGTATGTATTTTTGTAGTTTTGAGGTTTTAAGTGGCCACCAGAGTGTATTTCAGATGGCACACATAATACATTGAACTGGAATCCCAATTTGGGCTTGCCATCTGTGTACCATGTTGATTATTTTTACAGAACTGAGATTTTAATCTCAAAAATGAAAATTTATAACAACACCCAAATTGGGCTTTTTGTATCATTTATTTTCCTTCTTTTTTGTCTACTGACTCCCATTTAGCAAGAGCATTGACTATTCTTAGTGAGTTAAGGGAGGTACCAGCATGGCTTTGACCTTGGCCTTGATTTTAATCTCTTTGTCCAGTCAATGTATGAAAGCTTAGCTGTATTTTGGTTTGTTTACTGTATAGACTTTGCCATGGCCATGAGTTTCATAGAGTAATTATTTTGATTAAGTTAGACGATTAAAGTTAGTCTTGCATGAGGAAAGAATACACTTGGGAAGCGGTGATAGATGGACTCCAGTCTTCGGAGTGTTTAGTTCTGCCAGCATTTTCCAGTTGAATGGAAATTCACCTCCCAGTTTGGTTTGGGTGACAATGAATGGATTGTCAGACCTCAGTATTTCCTAGGAAAAGATAGAGATCAAGAAGGATTGATGACAATGTGAATATCCACATGTGTTCTTGCACTTTTTCTCAGATATTTTTCTGCTTTGATGAACAACATCATTACTGAAATAATAAATGTTAATTAATATCTGCATCACTTTTTGGTAAATGGTAGTTTAGTATTACAATTAGACTAATTAGTATACACCATAGCTGGTGACATGACAAATCATAGAGCAGAACATGTTGACTCTTATCCATTATGATATATTAGCTAATTCACTTGCTCAGTAACGACAAGAGAAAAGAGAGACGGGGAATTGGGCAGTAACAACAACAACTATAAAGGCATTATGGCCACATTTTCAGGGTTTTGTCTTTCCGCCATGTTCCTGAGTACCGTGGATTGTTAACATTTTCCATTTCTTTTCCCATTGGGAAATCATAGCCCCTGACCGAAACCTTCAGGAATAAGATCATGAGTAAATAAAGAAAATGAGAATAAAAGATGACTTCCACATTTTCCTAGGTTTACACATGCTATGTCATGCTCAGTGTTTGATTTTACCAAGATTAGTCATTGTAAAGTTGACGGCCGTCTGCATCTTTATTTTTCAGAACCTATGAGAACCCCAAAGACATTAAAGATTGCTGAGATACAGGCAAGACGCATTGCTGTGGACTGGGAATCCCTGGGTTATAACATTACTCGTTGCCACACTTTTAATGTCACTATCTGCTACCATTACTTCCGTGGTCACAATGAGAGCAAGGCAGACTGTTTGGACATGGACCCCAAAGCCCCTCAGCATGTTGTGAACCATCTGCCACCTTATACAAATGTCAGCCTCAAGATGATCCTAACCAATCCAGAAGGCAGGAAGGAGAGTGAAGAAACGATTATTCAAACTGATGAAGATGGTATGTTCATACTTGTTATTTTTAAAAGGGTGAATTATATAACAGGATTATGTCATTGCTTATAATTTTCTCTAGAGTCACCAAAATTGAATTGGATTCTGATATCTGCTAAATACTCTTAACGAGGTTAACTTTGAAAGGAGTTTGCCTTTAACTAAAAAGCTTAATATTCTTCAAAGTAGCATCAAATACTAGATGAAATGTACCTCTCCTCTTTTCTGTTTTTATATGTTAGAGAAGTAACAACTACACTAAAGTTTAAATAAAGTTGTTCCTATCAAATGTGCAAAAATAATTTTCACTATTCATGGCATTACATCATTTACCTATTGGTGAAATGCACTTGGTTAAAATTTAGTTCTTCACATTTTACAAACCAATGATAGCAGCTTTCATTTTCCTTAGCATTTGAAAACAGCACCGTTTGCCTATTCCACTCATTTTCAGATGGTTTCATGTAAGTTTAAATATAAAAGAAGGTTGAAGTTCATATCTTTAAGTCTCAATAAAGGCCCTTATCAGATACCAGCAAGCTGTCATCTTTTACCCATTTTATTACCACCCAAGGAATTTAACTATATAATGTCCAATATCTACGTGTGTCACTTCCAAATTATTAAGTAATAGGAACAAACATTTATATTATATTATAATTTGCCCACACCTGCTATAGCACTATAGTTTGTCATTAATGGGAATGAGTACATTTCTTGATTCAACAGAAATGTGCCCTATACCCAAAAAAATGTACCAATGATGATACTCTGATAATAACAATAATGTATTATTTCAATGTAAGACATTTCATTTTCAAAATTTACTGTTATGAATGGAAGCATGTAGGGAAAAAACATGGCCTATTTAGTGAATGGAGGCAAAGCTGAATCTGGGAGTCAGGAATCCTGAGTTTTTAGTCCTGGCACTAATACCTCTGTCACCTTACCCAATCTGTTTACTCCTCTAGATTTCCATTTCTCATCTCTATATGAAAAGTTTAAATAAGATGATCTCATCCCCTTCTAAATTTCTCCTTGAATAGCCTGTCAGTAGGGCCACGTTTTTGTTTGGATTTTAGAAAATAGGATGTATTTCATACCCAAGTGTTTCCAGTTTCCCTCAAGTTCTGAACTTTAGGCACGGATGTACATCTTGATGACTATCAGGTATGAGATTTCCTTAAGATAGGCCAATATACCACAGTTTCTAGAAGTTTCTCTGTATCACTTCAAACACTCACTCTGAAAAGTAGAAATGACCCATGTTGGTTCTATTATTTTTGTTGTCATAAAGGAGAGTGAGAGCTTTTCAACCTCATTCAGATCAGATTTTGAAGGAAACAATATTGTCCTAAATTATACATGGAGTTATTCTCATATTCCTAAAATTTTCAAAGAATAAACCTAGGACTTATTTATGATAAATGTACTTTGTCATGTTTAACGTAACCAAACATGATTACCTCAACTATCATGTTTGAATTTATACCTAATCTAAGCCTTAATAATATTTCAAACAAACTTGCTCTCATACATAAACACACACTCATATCCCCCCCCCACACACAGAACACACCCCAATACATGATTATATAAGAAAGAATAATTAGCATAGTTGTTTCATAGATGGATGATAGAAATGGAAAGTCTAAGCAGATTCAAAAGCTCTGAAAAATCTCTATCTCATTTCATAAAGTGGGATAAATACAAAATGTCTGTATTACTCTAGACATTTTGTAAGCCATGTTTTTAGTAATAAGAATGTACTCACACACTTTATTGCCTACCCTTAAAATTTTAAAAACTTGATTTCTTAACTGGTCATTTTAGATTCAGTTACATTTGTGCTTTTTCTGCCAATCATTCTCTATTAATATAATTCATTTTGGTGGTATACTTTGGTATGGCTTTTAGTTTGCCTTTCTTTCCCATAAACTAAAGAATGCAGTCAGGCTCATATAACTTTTTCATATTTTATTAAATTTTTAAATGTATTTTTGGGTGTACAGACAAGTAGGTTAATAATCAGGAAGTGAATTGCTATGGAATCTTAAATTATGTCCTAAATTCATCAACTTCATGACTGTGCTATTTTATATAGAAACAGTTTTATAAACATAAGATGAAATTAACTCTATATAGTATATAATTACAATATTGTTTCTTATTCTAGTTTTATTTTAAGGTATGTTTTGAAGAACATTTTTACTAGCTGTAATGATAATTGAGTTGCATATTATTATTTCATAGCATAGTCAAAAAGTAATTCTTTCTACTGTGAGATTTTTTTTCTTCTCCTTTGTCTTATGTATAAAACTAAATGACTGCAGTAAAAACTTTGTATATTTTCAAGTAACTCAGTCTTCAGATCTGCTCACATTAGCTCCAGTTTCTACATAGAATACTTGATATGACTCAGTATTCCTGAGAGGGGGGACAGAATATCTAAATCATAATCTATTGTTGCAAAGATCGATGGGTTATGATGATCTAATTAAGTCAGTCTTACTAAATTATTGCTGCCCTATATACGTAGAAAAAGAATAAATTATCAACCATCTAATAAAAGAATATAATTTCATGAAAAGAATTCTAGGGACATCCATAAATCATGAGAGCAAAGCTAAAATGATTTCCCACCAGAACCCTAAGGTAGAATTTATATTTAATTTATTGCATACATTTTTTAATGCATGGGTAGAATTTTTTGTATGAGATTTTGTTTTCATTTTTTATCCTAGCATTTACAAAAATCAATATTATGAAGTGAACTCAGCAGAAAACCCTGGTTTGGGGACATTTTTTGCTAATACAGAGCTATTTTTAAATGTTCATTTATTATATTTTAAAGTCTGTAGTGCTTATTTAATATAATCCTGCCCCACCCACATTTCATTTTTCCTCTCTCTTCCATTTTGAGAGTTATATTTTAAAGGACTTTCTTTAAAAAAAAAAAATAGCTGAAACAGCTCTCAAATAAATCACAAGCAGGGGAATGAAAGTCAGCATTCTGTCTCCATTAAAAGTTGTTGATGTGGAAATGTGAGGTGACATTCCCTGCCATATGAAGACAGCCGTGATGATGGTCTTAGTAACTTCATGTTGTATTTACACAAATCAAAAGTACATATAGACATTCTACATAGACATTGTCTTCCTTCAGAGGTGGAGAGTTATTAAATATAACTTACCTGTGCCCACTCCCTGCCCCACCTGTTTATGTGTGTGTTTTGTCATTCACCTAAGTGTAGTTCTTTTTCTTGTCTGCTGTACTAGTCCCAGTGCAAGATCAGTAGCGTGGTACTCTCTTGGCCATAATTTTTCCACAAACTTTTCCCTCTTACAAGTATGACCTGTAGGTACTTTAAGTGAATTTTATTGACAAAGTAGAATATGTGTAAGAAGAGCAGAGAGGGGCGCCTGGGTGGTTCACTTGGTTAAGTGTCCGACTCGTGATCTCAGCTCAGGTCTTGATCTCAGGGTCGTGAGTTCAGGGTCGTGAGTTCAGGCCCCATGGGCTCCATGCTGGGTATGGAACCCACTTAAAAAAAAGAAGAAGAAGAGCAGAGAAATACACAAATTCTAGGAAGGATACTTTAATTCTGTCCCTCTTCCAATGCGGAATTATGCAGACATTTTTAACTATCTTTATTTGTAAACAATTTGAAATACATTGCACCATTTTATATATTTGTTGGCCAAGTTGTGGTTAGTGAACACAGGTAGCAATTATAATACCATCAAATAAACATTTTCTCACTAATTGGAGTGTTGCCTCCTCCTACCTCCAGCAGTCACCATCTTTGAAAGTTACGGAAAAGTGAAGAAATACTTTTCCTTAATTACAATCAGAAGCTTGTTTTCACTCTACTCAAATGACATAACACCTATCACCCTTGTTAGTTAACAAACTAATGCCCCTGGCAGCCTCCGTAAGTGCCCCAGAGTACACATAGGGGCTGTGATGGCCTCTCTGCCTTGATCAACTGTGTAGTCTGTGCCAATACAGTGGACCTGGGACTTGCCAGGGAATGGATGCCTTTGATTAAGTTCCCCCTGAGCCCTCAGCTGACAGATGCATGTACATATATTCTGAAGTTGAGTGCTGGCATCTTTTCTGTTTATGGGTTTCTTTTCTTTATGGTTTTTTTCTTTATGAATTTATTATTAATGTGCCAAGTTATATTGGCTGTCCCAGAGGTCATAACATCGTTCATCGTCTCCTTGTAGTCTGAAATAAATCTTCCTATTTTGATGTATCATTCAGAATTTCTTGATGCTGCTAGCTACGATGCAGTGCATTTCCTTTGATCCAGTGATTTTTAATTTACTTCAGTCCTCACAAAATTGCTGTATACTCTGCAACTACATTTCTAGATAATGCCATGTGTGAAGTTCACTGAAACGTTAGATTAAGGAAAAATATTAATTAAAAACCATACTTGCCCAGTATTGGGTCAATATTTCAAAAGAAAACACATTTTTTAAGCAAAGTAGGATGTGTAGGATTTATATTTAAGCATTATCAGAACAAGAAACTGGATATTTCTGTGAATAAATAGCAACTATGTGTTTAGATAAAGTACATGAAAGCAAAGAGCAAAAGTATCTGATGTTTTATATTTTGTCAATAGAAACTGACACATTGTTCATCGCTGCCACTGGGTATTATCAGTTATATGACATTTGCAGATAAGGACTGGTATGAAGGTTCCTCAACTCTCGTCATACCTGGGGACACTTCAGAACCGGTTATGCTGATTGTTGAGTTCTAAACAAGTCTGATATTATAAAATGGTTTGATGCTTAGCTTTGCAAGAGGGAATTTCATTTAAAAGACTGAAGCAATGATATTTGAACCTATTCATCTTGAGGTTTTTTAAAAAATTGTAATAATCAGTGCTGTGTTTTTTTAAATTATAGAAATTTAATAAGGATAGCAGTAAGAGTCAGCTTGACTCTTAATGGGCATTTCAATTCAGTATTCTGTGATTTGGCTTTTGAGTCTGGGGAGTGTTAATTATTATTATAATTCATTATTTAATGAAATTTGTTTATGGAGATACTTTAGGGGCTTATCATAATCTTCAGAATATCTTTCAGGGAAATATAGCTGTGTTCTTGAAACAAATTACAAATGAGATCTTCATGTTATTAGAGGTATACAACAGAGAAAACTAGACTACACAATTATTCAACTCTCTAAGGTGATAGACTATTCTTTTGAATAAAAATAACTTTGGAGTTGTACATTTTCTGCATTAGAAGCTTATAGATTACTCTAAATTCCCATTTGTTAAAAATCAGAAAACTGGTCACATAGCTTATTTTCTTTTTAAGGACACAATTTTTTTTTTTTTAATTTGGCTTATATAACTTACAGTAATTACTTTTTCTGTTTCTGATGTAAGGATCTTTATAACCAAAAATGTATATATTTCTAGTGCCTGGCCCTGTACCAGTCAATTCTCTTCAAGGAACATCCTTTGAAAATAAGATCTTCTTGAACTGGAAAGAACCTTTGGATTCAAATGGAATCATCACTCAATATGAGGTACTGGGAGAATAAGGAAGTTAATTGAAATGTGGGTTGAGGGAGAGTAAAAGGAAAAAGTTGGAGAGAAATAATGGAAAATAAGTAAGTGAGGATTAGGGGATCAAATCATTTTTAGTACACCTCTGTTTTACTTTACAAATTCCTTGATCCCAAAATTGAGTTTCAAAACAAATATTGGATGGCACCTAGAATTTTCTAATTCTTAAAGTAAATGTGTTTTTGTTGTTGTTTTAGAGAAGCAGGATGGGTCTTTTCAAACAGACTTACTGATGGTTGTAATGAATGAATTTTTATAAAATTAAGATACATTGTAATTAGGGGAGGCCATTGAATGTCAGTTGTTTCAGAATAAAGGATTACTTCCAAGACAGCAAAATATATTATAAACTTGACTATTCCAGAGATTCATCTCAATTTTGTTATAAATCATTATCTTATTTTTAAAGAGGAGAAGCTAAAAAGAAGAAAAGATCATTATAATTGCACAAATGTGTAGTTCTCTTCCTGCATAGTCAGTGTTGATTAGAGCATAAAATGTTTACATTTCTAGCGGCTACAGAGTGCATCATGGGAATGAGGATCATTAGGACAGTGTCATAAATTGTGACCCTGTCAGCACACTCGAGTGCTGTTTACATGAAATCTGTTATGTGATTCGGACAAAGTATGGGGTGATGTTACTTACAACAAACATTTGTTGAACACTTCCTGTGTTTCATATACATTAAAATATATAACCATAAGATTGTGTATGTATGTGTACCCGTATTTAAGTAAATTAGTTTATCTCTTGATGGAAGAAAGTAGATGCACATTGGTACGGTCAGATATTTACCTCTAGGTATATCTATGGCCGGCTGGCCGGCTGGCTGGCTGGATGGGTGGATAGACAGACATTAGATATAGAATGACTGGGAAGTAACCATATCCAAGTGAGAAGGAAAAGAAGTTTAAGAAAAATGTGATTCACTTATGAATACTGCCTTATGTAAAAGAGCTTTATTTAGATTATATCATGATATGTAATAGCAAATATATTTCTTAAAACAGGTCAGCTACAGCAGCATAAGATCATTTGATCCTGCAGTTCCAGTCGCTGGACCTCCCCAGACTGTATCAAATTTATGGAACAGCACACATCATGTTTTTATGCATCTTCATCCCGGAACCACCTACCAGTTTTTCATAAGAGCCAGCACAGTCAAAGGCTTTGGGCCAGCCACGGCCATCAATGTGACCACCAATATCTCAGGTACGCAAAGGAATAAAACGCAAACAGGATTGGTTTGTAATAGCATGTCCTAGAGAATCCTATATGCACTCAGGGTAGTCATCTCACTTATATAGCTAGCTATTCCTGATTGAAGGTTCGTTAAAGAATTCTGTGAATACTACTCCTGACACCAATATTACATTATATGTTCACTGACTAGAATTTAAATAAAAACTTGAAACAAAGAATTATGTGAATACAGATGGTAATTGGTTATATGTCCAAAACCAGAAACATCTCAGGCACTTTCAATTGACAGTGGTCCTTTTAAAAATGTCATTTTATCTTAATTAGAGAAGTATTTGAAAGTTCATTATGAATGCTAATAGACATCACCTTTGAGGAGTTGGTAATTACGATGGTATCAGAAATCTGCTGTAAGTGGATTTTATCAAAAGAATGATGGCAGATCTTTGATCCATTGTTACAGTGCCACATACCTTGTCTCTCTTTTCCACTTTCCCTGACATTCTGATATTTTTAAGCAAATATGAGGAATTCGTTCTCTTAGAAATCTCACATAAATTCATCTAAATTTCAGAATGGTAAGGTACAGGAGAACTTAAGTTGATAAACAAATACAGTTAAATTTCACATTATTTTATGCTCACAATTTCAGTTTGTAATTGACTAGATTATTTACAGATACGATTTCTTCTTCGGTCAAGTCATCAGTTAAACCTGATTAAATTCGGCCAGTAATTAGCATTGTCATATGCCCTAATTCTACTCTAGCTTATGTAATGTTTTATCTTAGTTATTTAAGATTACTGAAATAAATATATATTATAATGTAACATTTCTGTTTGGAAACGTTTTGAATATAAAACCTTAAAAAATTACATCATGAAAAATATTACCTATTCCAATATGAGCTATTTGATTTATTCTAACAAAAAAGAATTTTAAAATATCATCCATTATGTTAGAAAATAGCAATGTATTAAAATTGCCAGTTCAATTCCTAATGGAACAATTCTAAATCACCCATTTAAAATATTTATTGAATCACTAGAAAATATGACCTGGTGATATCATTGTACAGTGAAACCTGTTTCCTGCCCTCCAGAATGAGCCATAGTGCTGTATTTGAATAAGATCCTTCAGTAGAAGATAGTTACAAAATTACATGAACTTGTAAAACTTTGAACAAATGGGCATTGTCAAGAACCATATTTTATTATGGTTTAGACATAGTGTTCTTTATTGAATAAAAAATTTATAATTAAAGACCAGAACACCCATCTAACATTTTCTTTGAATTATTTAACTGCAGTTTTACTTGAATCAACCTATATACGTGGGTACTTGATTTGAACTTTAAAAACTTGATTGCAATCACTGTATCCTCAGAACATGTAGTAATCAAGCTAAGGCTAATAAAATTTATGGTTAGCGTGGTTCTCAGCATCACGTGAAATTTTAGGATAATTTATTGTTATTTATCCCTTGAGTACAGAAATTATATCCCTCAGCATTTTAAAAACAATTTAAATAAAAGTGAAATCAAGTTATTGGAGGCATGGTGCTTGGAGGCATGGTATGTGGTGTGTTTTAATACACATATATATATATATAATCCACATGTATATACATATTGTACACATTTAATATCTGTTGATTCTACTTCCTAAATAACTCTTCAGATAGTTTATCTCTTTCTGATGTCACTGTTTCTTCCTTTCCTTCTGGACCATATTTTAAACAGATGATTGAAATATCTTTCTGAGCATTATCTTTGGCTTCAGACTTACCTTGCTTCGATGTATTTTTCTATCAATCTTTGTACAACATATATTTCTTTCCTAAAAAAATTTTTTAAAGATTTTATTTATTTATTTGACAGACAGAGAGAGAGAGCACCAGCAGGTGGAGCAGCAGAGGGAGAGGGAGAAGCAGGCTCCGCGCTGAGCAGGGAGAGCCCGATGTGGGACTCGATCCCAGGACACTGGGATCATGACCTGAGCAGAAGGCAGTCACTTAACCAACTGAGCCACCCAGAAGCCCCCTAAATTTTTTCAAAATCTAATATATTGTATTTAGTAGGATAAAGCCCAAACATCCATGCATGATTAACATTTGTGCCCCTTAATTTTATAGTTCCTTCCATCCACCACTCCTACCCATGAACCCAAAGTTCCAGGCCTCGCAGACTGCTTGTAGCTGTCATAACACAGTCTCCTTTCACATGATGATGTCTTCAAATATTCTGTTTCCCATCTCTTGCATTTTATTGGATGCTTTCTTGTCTTGATAAGTTTTTACTGCCGTTTTAACATTCAGCTCAAGCATCGTCTAAACCCTGAAGTTGTCTCTGTTTCATTTTTCTAACTCCCAACCCTGAGTTAGACTAGTGGTTCTCCCAAGTGTGGTCCATAGACCAATAGCGTCAACATCACCTGAAAACTTTCTAGAAATGCACATTACCAGGCTCCTCCCTGGACCTATTGAATTAGAAACTCAAGGGGAAAAGGGCAGCAATCTGGGTTTTAGGAAGCCTTCGTGGGAGGGTATGTGCTATGGTGACCACTGTGAATTGTGTAAGACTTGAATCACAGACCTGTACCTCTGAAACAAATAATACATTATATGTTTAAAAAAAAAAAAAGAAGAAGATAGCAGGAGGGGAAGAATGAAGGGGGGGAATCGGAGGGGGAGACAAACCATGAGAAACTATGGACTCTGAGAAACAAACTGAGGATTCTAGAGGGGAGGGGGCTGGGAGTATGGGTTAACCTGGTGATGGGTATTAAAGAGGGCACGTTCTGCATGGAGCACTGAGTGTTATACACAAACAATGAATCATGGAACACTACATCAAAAACTAATGATGTAATGTACGGTGATTAACATAACATCCTAATAAAAAAAAAAAGGCCTTCATGGGCTTCTGATCTCACTAGTTTGAGAACCACTGTTTTAGCAAATGAACTGACTCCTCTTTAAGTCACCTAAAATTTGGCTATTATTTTTGTTGTTGTTGTTTAAGATTCTCACTCTTGGGGCACCTGGGTGGCTCGGTGAGTTGGGTGTCTGCCTTTGGCTTGGGTTGTGATCTCAGAGTCCTGGGATTGGGCTCCCTGCTCAGCGTCGAGTCTGCTTCTTCCTCTCCCTCTGCTCCTCCCGCTGCTCGTGCTCGCTCTCTCTCTCTCTCAAATAAATAAATCTTTAAAAAGAAAAAAAGATTCTCACTCTTGATAAAATGTCAATCTATACTTTTAATTCTATAAATGTCAGAGACCATGTTTTGTCTTTATACTCACAGCACTTACAAAATGTGACACGTTGTATATATTCAGTAAATACTCAATGAATGAATGAAATACTTTGAAATTTATATTAGATGCCATTTGTTTTCAGTTTCTCTGATACTGCACACATTTCACTGGTTATGTCCTCCCTAAAATAACCAAAAGCCATTTGAGGTTACTTTTTCACCCAGTTCAGGATTAGGGAGCCCTGTCCCCCACCCCAACCATTATCAAATATTTTGATATTTGATGAGTTTCTACTTTTCAAGAATCTGGCAACTAATGCACTAGTTCATGCTAAATAAAAACTGCAGTTCCCATTCCCATTCACCACGCTTCCTCGCTATGTTTCTGTGGCGGCCACGGTCCAGATACGAACACCGGGCCGTTCCACAACCTTTATATCGCACACAGCACCACCTCACCAGGCAGCCTCTGGCTCACTTCCTGCCCCCTCTGCCTCCACATCTCCATGTGCACGTCCGTAACCAGGACTCCCCAGAGTCAGTAATGTTCACCTGCCATCCCATCAATGCTTGGTTTCAAGGTCTCAGGAAACCAAAAGCCAAAGCACCTTCACAAAATGTTTGGTGTGTGTGTCCAAGTCGCCAGATGATAATTTAAGTTTCAACAACAAATTGTGGCTTCATATCTGCTGCTGTATTAGGTTCCCAGGGTTAACATTCAGTAATATATGTTATTCTACGAACTGAGGTGCATTTTAGAAAATTAAATATGAAATTGGTTTTCCCCCATTCCAGATCATTTATTCATCCTGAACTGTGATATAATTCTGTTAATTGACAGCAGCTTTTTTCTTCTCTCATTAACCACTTACCAGCTCCAACTTTACCTGACTATGAAGGAGTGGATGCCTCTCTCAATGAAACAGCCACCACAATAACCGTATTGTTGAGACCAGCACAGGCCAAAGGGGCACCAATCAGGTAAGGGGGGAAGATACGAGTAATAGGGCAAAATAGCAGTAGGAGAGATTGCTTAGCGGTCGATATAGTCCTTCATTTCTAAGAGATGGTCATTTGACGATGACTTTCAGAAAGGTTTTATTTTTGTTTTGTTTTGGTTTTGGTTTTCATTTGGACAAAGCCTACAGATAGACTTTTAAGAGTAAGATTTGAAGGGTTTTTTTTTTTTTTAAGATTTTATTTATTTATTTGACAGAGAGAGACACAGCGAGAGAGGGAACACAAGCAGGGGGAGTGGGAGAGGGAGAAG